ATCATCAGGCCAGGACTCTGCGGTCTACACTCATCTCCAGGCCAGCGGTCATTCTTTCAGGGATGAAGATGTGCACATCCTGGATAGAGAGGAACAATGGTTTGAGAGAGGAGTAAAGGAGGCCATCTTTGTAAAAAGAAACCGTCCATCGTTAAACAGGGGTGGAGGCCTACGTGTTCAATTGTCCCCCTCTTACAATGCTGTGATTGCTAGTATCACTCAGCCCTCTGTGAATAGTTAACAGCCATCAGTGTGCTAATGATCCATTGTTAGGCTGATGGTCCTCCTTGAGCATGTGATCAGCTGGTTTTGGTTGTCAGCAGCAAAACTGGTTGATCCACTCTGAGAAGGTGCTACTTAAGAGACTGAGCTGAATACAGCACCTCAGACTGAGGAAGTCTCTCGGATGAGAGACGAAACGTTTCAACATTTTTTTGTTGTTTTCCTTTTTTTGTTTTTTTGAATGTCCAGAGGACCAGATTGAACTTTTTTGGATATACTTATATAGTTCCTTTCTATCTTATCACAACATTCATAACTCTTTACAACACAATGTGTCCTCATTTACCCATTCATGCCCTCTACTAGATCACTAGATGATGTCAAAGGCGTATTGCAAAAGCTTGAAAACATTTGCAACTATTTTAGCTCGACAGTAAACAACTGTATCTTCAACATAGAAATGTAAGGATTGATCAGGGATGAACTGACCTACATTACCTATGTAGAGAATGTATGTATGTATGTAAAGAGGGTGGGTCCTAAGACTGAGCCTTGTGGTACATCATTGTTGACTACTAAATAACTGGAAGAAGTAGCATTATGTTGAACACATTGCCTACAGTCTGAGAGATAGAGAACCAACCAATGATGTGAGCTGAAAAAACAATTTCTGAGAGCTTATGACGCAAGATGTCAAGGTACACAGTGTCAAAAGCTTTAGACAGGTCTAAGCAAAGTGCAGCAAAGTAATCCTAAAAATTATAAAGTTGAAGAGAAGTCAAGTAAGTTATCAGTTTCTTTAAAAACGTAAGGTACTGGTGGTTTAATGTTTTTATGGAATGTGGTTTTACCAATAAGTTACACTGAGTTACATGAACTGAGGTTAAACTCGGTGTAGAGAAGGACACTGGTTGCATTTTCTCCTGTAGTTGAAGAATGAGGTCCAGGAAAGAAACCTTCGCTGAAGAGGTTATAATTGATTTGTCTTTAAACTACAATTTTGGTTTGTGTGTTTACGTTTTATGATTTTCAGTTACGTTTTCTTTTCTAGGGAGTGGTGGTGCAGAGGTTAGAGAAAGTGAGCCTGTGATCGGATGATCACCGGTTTAACTCCCGGTATTGACATCAAAATGTGGGTGGGATTGGTGAAGCACCCACACCTGTCTCCACCCTCATTTGCCCCACTCTGGACCCTTGAGCAAGGCTCTTAACCTACCCATCTGCTTCCCCAGGCGCCCAAGATAGCAGCTCTCTGCTCCACACTGAGAGGTGTGGTAGCTCGGTGGTCTGTGGTTGTGTCAGGAAGGACATCCGGT